GATGACAGCTGTTTATAATTGTGGTTTGTCTGGATTTTGGAAAGTTCTAAATAAGTGTTCGAGTGTTGACACAAGTAAAAGAATCTCAGAATTATTTCAGAGATTGGAGAATCCAGCCCTTTCACTTTTTAGATAGGGAAACTGAGGTTCAGAGAGGTGACATGACTTGTCTACGGCCACAGCTAGCTAATGATAGAGCCCAGACTCAAACCAAGCTGGGACCCTCATTCAACCACAATGCAAAATCCCTCTTGTGTCCCAGACTCTTCCAGGAAGTTACAACCCATAAAGAAGCTTCCCCATTTCACTGACCCTAGTGTATACGAACGTATATTCACTAAGCCACAGATATCACTGAGACTTGTGGGTGGTGGGGTAGGACCCAGTAGCTGAGCTACATGCTCTGGGGTTTTTAAGTCAAGCCTCACTGGATTTAAGGGTATTGGGGGTAGGAATATCCTGAAATTCAACAATTCAGAAACACATAGGGTACCTCCCTCTACCTTCCAGAGGGATAGAAACTTCTAGAGATGCTGTACATGGTGAAGGAAGGGAATAACTATTTTTTAAAGCTGGAGTTTATTACTATTATTACATGAGAAGTTTGTTTTATTATTCCTTAAACCCTCATGATATTTACTCTTGTGAAATTATTTCATAATACATTTCATATTTTAAAGTAATGTATTTCATAATGAAAAATTTTAAAAGCAAATGAGATGGGAGAGGGAAAAGGCAACTAAGTGTGGTATAGTAGACACTTGAAAGACAGAAGTCTCGGGATGATGAGCAGATACGATCAACACAAAGAGTTTGTCAGATCTTGGTGCAGTTCAATGGTGGCAGTTCTTAAATTTTGGTTCTCATAATCATTTGAGAAGTTGTATTCATCTCTCATACTCTACACCAAGAAAAATTCCGAATATTAAAAATGCCACCAAAATAGAAAACAGGAGAAAATTATTTTGTAACCTGAGTGAAAAGGATTTTTGAATTACGACTCAAACTCCAGAAGCCATAAAAAAGATTGATAGGTGTGACCACAAAAAACATAGATCTCTGTGGAAAAAAATATCTACAAGCTCAAAAGACAAACTAACAGCAGCAAAAAAACTGGGACAGGGCTTCCCTGGTGGCGCAGTGGTTGAGAGTCCGCCTGCCGATGCAGGGGACACGGGTTCGTGCCCCGGTCCGGGAGGATCCCACATGCCGCGGAGCTTCTGGGCCCGTGAGCCATGGCCGCTGAGCCTGCGCGTCCGGAGCCTGTGCTCCACAACGGGAGAGGCCACAACAGTGAGAGGCCCGCGTACCGCAAAAAAAAAAAAACAAAAAACTGGGACAAACATTTGTAATCACATCACAAATAAAGGGCTCATTTCTCTAATAGATAAATTAATAAGAAAAACCATCAAATCAACAGAAAAAAATAAGGCACACTTTCAAAAAAGGAACTGCAGAAGGCTTTTCATTACATTTGGTAAAAATCTACTGATAACAAGACAGTGCATATTAAAAAATATTTTGTCACGTTTTACCTATTAGCAAAATTTTAGAAGATTGATGATACACTGTGTTGGCAAAGGTTTTGGGGAGATACGTACCCTCATTCATTGATGGTAAAGGTGAATTTCCTTGGGAGGGAAATTTGTCAATGTCTGTCAAAATTACTATCACGTGTAGTCTTTGACCCAGCAGTCCGAGAAATTTATTTGACATTGGATGTGACGCATAGGGAAGGATATTCACTGCAGTATTGTTTGTAACAACAAAAAATGAGCTCCTAAATATCCATTAGTCGGAGACTGATTAAATGCCGTGTGATACACTCACACGATGAAAGGCTATAAATCTTTAAAAATTAACTCTGTAGCTATTTATGTTTTCTTTTGTGTTCTTCCTTATCTTTTTCTATCAAAATGCGGTACGCGGGCCTCTCACTGTTGCGGACCCTCCCGTTGCGGAGCACAAGCTCCGGACGCGCAAGCTCAGCGGCCATGGCCCACGGGCCCAGCCGCTCCTCGGCATGTGGGATCCTCCCGGACCGGGGCACGAACCCGCATCCCCTGCATCAGCAGGCAGACTCCCAACCACTGCACCACCAGGGAAGCCCCGCTATTTATGTTTTGATAGAGAAAGATCTGGAAGGACACAGAGGAAAGTAGTAAATGTGGTTACTATGGAGGGTACTAGGCGAATAAGGAACAGTGTGGAAGGAAGGCTCTTCACTGTTTATCTTTTTATATACTACTTTTTGATTTTTGAATCGTGTAAATGTACTATCTGTTCAAAATTTAATTTAAATAACTTAAATAATTCACTGAGGAACCTGTTAAACATGTAAGTGTTTTCCCCTGATATTAACTCCACTGAGACAGAATCTCTAGGAATGAGCAGGAATGTCCTCACCCCTAAGGGTGCATGTAGTTATTTCTTAGAAAGAAAAGACTCACACCCCTTTAGCTCTAGTTTCTGAGTTTAAAGTAATGTGTCATGCATCCCCCTCATGGGAGATTGAATATAGGGTAAACCCACCATCTGCCCAAGTTTGCTAAGATGGATGTTATAACTATTATATGGCTTCCCAAGAACAAACTGTGTAATTTATGGCCAGGGATGGTTTCTATTTCTCTACTCCTTTTTGTTTGCATTGTTTAAAAAAAGTGAAAAAGAAAGAAAACAACCCATTTTGTGCTCTGGGTGGCAGATGGATGAGGAGGGAAACAGCCAGCCTTCAAGCATTTTTTCTAACCATTGTCATCACATTTATGCTCATGGTTTGTCCAAAGCAACAGTATATATGATGAAAAGACCACAGTGAAAACAAACAAAAACCCATACCCATGGCTAAGCTGCAAAGTCATCAAAAATTTGTCTTTTCTGGTATCTACTAAAATTGAACATACCACATTCTATAGCTCAGCAATTTCCACTCTTAGGTATATAACAAGAAAAATGTACTCACTTGTACAACAAAAGACATGTAGGAGAAAGCCCTTAGGAGCTTTACTCATAATAGCCCCACATGGGACACTACCCTAACATTCATCAAGATTAGAAAAGATGTGTGCATTTTGGTATATCCCCACAGTGAAATTCTACACAGCAATGAGAATGAAAGAACTGGAATGACACACAGTGATCTCACTAACAGAATGATGAGTCAAATAAAGACAAACAAAAAAGAAAACATACGGTATGATTTTATTATATGTTAGAATACCAGGGCAAAAGAATCTACTGCTTTAGAAGCGAGGATGATCTACAAAGATAGTAACTGGAAGAGGGAGGGGTGTGTGTGTGTGTGTGTGTGTGTGTGTGTGTGTGTGTGTGTGTGTG